AAGTGTCAGTTCGTGAAGACGCTGCACGTGCCATCGACTGGTGCGTTTATTCAGTGACAATTCAGTGCCACTTCTATATTTATGTCAAGTGTCCTGTTATATATAGTTATTTAAATTTCTTCTACCATCATATGATAAGTGGATTGGCATTGAATTTGACACGAGAATAGTGACATAGAGGATCCCAACTGATTTGGTGGCTGGGTTAAAACTCTTGTTCATTTATTTTCTTAATTGACCGGTACGTGGAAGGGACTCAATAAGGATCGCTCTTTTGCAAGTAACTTTAGATCTCAAAACATATTCTAACGCGTGGTTATGGTTGGAGTCGAATTCAGATAAATTTTTATTACAAAAAAAAAGGGGTAAATAGTGGCTAGTAGAGATTCGCCCAGCTTACGTGTATATGTACGTGGTTTTGCAGAAGGGGTTATAGCTTAAGAAGCACCAGTGAGTGTGAAGTTAACTTGGCCACCGTTTTTGTCTCTAGAAAGCCACATAGTTCAGGCAGCAGGATGGCTTTTTGGCCGGGGAGACTTTGTGATGAACGCGAACGCTGAACTTCGTCGGATTGCTAGTTCTCTCTACTTTCATGCTGCATCCAAAGATGTTGTTGTGATATGAGACATGTATATGGCTCGTCCACACAAATTAAGGAGTCCTCAATGTTTGAATCTCTTGAATTGAATTTCACATCATAAAATGAAAAATAAAATGCCTAGTGGAATGGTTCTGAGGTTGCAAACGACTCTGGCATGGGAATAATGGAAGGTACGGAAATAGCTGAGAATCCCAGTGGAAGAATAAGTCTGGAATAAGACCTTTTCATCCCTATCCCACTCTTTCACCCACCTGTAATTGTCAGAACACAATTTGAATCCTTAAATTGATGAAGGGAAGATTCTGAAAGACTTTTTCCCTAACTACTGGTTTGATCCCAATAGTTTGTTTGTGACAATTAACTTGTTGTATTATTAGTTTCCTCCATAATTCATTTCATCGGGAAGATGGTTCTTCCCTGTTAACCACTCATTTGGGTCGGTCCAATACTTTGTTGTGTTCTACTCATTGGATTTGGGGCCATTAAAGTGTTGCAAAAATAAAACTAAAATCAGGGGGGAAATATTGTCCAAAAACTACATGAAGGATGCAATATGAGATTATTTCAAATTATTTATAGAACAATTATTATAGCATTTTTTAGGATTTGATGCATGTGAAATACAAAAAAATTAATTCAAATTATGTCTATGATATAAATAAAAATTATTTAAAATAAGTTTACTATTCAAACACACTCTCAGAGTAATTTCCTACTTTCTCAATCTCATGGAGTCCGTAAACTTTGTGATCGCTACCAGCTACGTTTACCTTGATTAGACAAGCAAGCAACAGCAATCCGTTGGCCCAAAAAAAAAAAGCAATCCGTTGACCAAAATGAGCGGTTCAGATGCTCCGAGAAAACTTCACATCGCAAACGGGTTGCAACCTGCAATGTACTCCAATTTTCCACCAAACCCCACTTTCTTTTTTTAAACAAAAAAAGGGGAACAGAAATGACGCTATATATATATATATATATATGGAATCCCCACAGTCGTAGACTCTTTCTATATAGAAGGAAGGGCCAGGAACCCACAGTCGTAGACTCTTTCTATATAGAAGGAAGGGCATTCACTGCACAACACCGTCTTCTTTAGGAGTAAAAACTGAAAAGAGGAATGGGCTTCGGAGGAGGAAGTCGATCTGCTTCTGTATTCTGCTTGCCTTTCTCGTTATTTGCTCCGCTAAACAACACATTTCATTTCAGGTATTTTCGAGTATCATTATCCATTCACGCATTTACTATTTCAACGAACACCCGTAATATTCACAGAAAATATAAATGGGCTCTCTCTCGTTTCAGAAGAGGAGACGATTGTTGCCGGGATGGAAGGAAGGTCTCTGAAAATCAAGCTTGATGATTACAGCGCACCCTCGGCTAACACCGGCCATGATCCTAGGCGCGGTCACCGCAAATGAGGCCCAGGAAACGTTGATATATAAAACAAGTCCGGCAATTTGCTATCAGTACCTTTTTCTGCATACGACGTGAGCGGCTAAAAAGTATGATCCAATCCTGGGGGGGTCTAAAACTGTAACTTTAGATCAACTGATGCATTGTGCAATAAAGAGCTCCGTTTGATGTTTTGTTTTTTTTGCGTTATGGATATTCCTTCCTATGCTTAGGGAGGGCTTCGTCAAGGCAACTGTTTCCTGTTTACATTTCATTGAAGGGTTTGTTGTGTATGCTGTTTCTTTCTTTCCATGTTTTTTTTTTTTCTTAATGAAATTCACGTACGTTCAAGACTTTGTTATTAAGTGGCATTTTCTTGAGGGAGGAGGGAGATTGCAATTTATCCATACTACAACATTTGCTTCTTTGTGAATTGAAACTTTAGAGATCAACTGATGCATATTCCTTTCTATCACAATTAGTGGCCGAGAGGAGTTAGATTGTATTGATTATATCTATATGTGTGACACATGCTGAAACATTTTATTTTACTTGTCTTTTTGGGGTCCAACGCCCATCAAGCTTGGGATTTAAGGATAAAATTAAAGGAATTAATATTCGTTTTATAAGATTATACTATGAATAGCTAGGCGTTATCAGTGACAATTAAATTAAAAACAAATCATTCATGCTAGGATTTTACTAAAGGATGTTTGCTTATTTACCATGTGAATATATACAGTCACAATATTGCACCTTATGCATTTAGATACCTTCTCAAATTAATTACACTTATTGGCAAAAAAAACAAAAAAAAAAAACAAACACTTAAGGCTACTTGTAATGAGTGCTCTTAATGGATACTCATTAGCCAAACTCTTTATATATCCTAGTTTTTGTTTAGACAATCAAACGTTTTTTTAATTCAAGAGGACACTCAAATCATACAAGAGGGGATAAGAAAAGAGATTAGGTTAGAGAGTCAAACCAAAAACCTTGTGATTAGCTAAGCTGAATCTTGGTTTTGAAACAACCAGCATGTTGTCTTATAAGTTATTATAAATAGGGGCGAAGATTTTTGAGTAGTGGGCCGTTACTACGAGCGAACCCGCGACCGTGAGTGGCAGCCGAAATTAATAAATATTGTTGTGAGCCATTACGAAACAGTTTCGATTTTGCCAGCTAGTAGTGTTCTTCATTTCGTGGAGGGTGGACGATATTAAATTTGTTTGGATTTGGATATGAGAAATTTTTAGATATATATGATAAATTTTAGACCCATTTAAGAAAACCAAGAATTCAATATCGAAACCATGTCTCATGCTTTAATTATATACGAAAAGATATGACTAAAAAGAAAAAAAAAACAAAGGCAAAAGAAGTGAAGGTCACAGAACCTACAAACTTTTTTTTCTTTGTCTTTTTTGATTTTTGCAATCGGGCTATAGCACAAGAAACACTTTTGGATGTGAAGTTAATTTTGCCGACAGTTTGTGTCTGTAGAAAGCCACACAAAGTTTACACTATATATGTGTTCGCCTAGATGCTGTTAATGAGTTCTTACCTGTCGATTTGTATGTGATAAATATTGCACTGACAATATCAACACGCAGGATAGCTTCTTCTCCTTAAAAATGTTAACAAATGAATTATATCTTAACAAGTGGACACTCGTTAGACGGACAGACAAAAAGAAAAAAAAGACGCAACTCTCAAATGCATTGACAGGAATTTACTATAATTGATCTTAGGGTAGTCGCAAGGGAATGCATTTTGTCCTTGTAACAAATGACTTGATTATCAGTTTCCTTCAAAGCTCGTTTAATTGCATATTTATTTTCCGCTTTTTATGTTCCACTTACTTGGGCTTCAATCTATTTATTAAGGTACTAAAATGAGCTGAATGTGTGATGATTCACTTGTAGGAGCCTTCAATGTGTTAATAAGGTACCAAGATGAAGACAACGGAATTATAAAAACTAGTATATGAATTGGAATTCTTTACTGGGAATTGCTATCTCGGACTGGTTGGCGTGGAAGTCACAAGTTTAATTCCATGTGCTTCTCAATCTCCTGGAGTCCGTAAAGTTTGTGAGTGCTACCCAACTAAAGGAATTATGGTAAACGGCAGCTTACCTTAAATTAGTTAGGTGAGCAACAGCAATCCGTTGACCCAAGATGCGCCGCTCGGATACTCCCACAATACTCTCGCATCATGTCTCAAACCATTTGCTCGAATGTCAACTGCAATCTTCCCCAACCCCAAAATGAAAATGGTTTTTTTTTTCCTTGGTGGTTTTTTTTTTGGGGGGGGGGGGGGGTTGCCCATGATCTTTGTTATACATGCGTATACTCACTGCACAACGCCAGCGCTAAGACTTCTACATATATAAACACTGCACAACACCAGGCCATCTTCTTGAGGAGTAAAAAAACTGAGAAGGATGGAAATGGGAAGAGGAAGTCGACTCTGCTTACGTCTTCTACTTGCCTTTCTCGTTGTTGCCCAGTTGGAGGTTCACCTCCAATCCCATACAAATCGTGTTGGGTACCTTCCTCCCTCGTAACATAAAAATAGATTAAATTTTTAGTTTAGAAGGAAAAACAACATATAGATCAAGTAATTAACTTCTGAACTTCATCGAGCAACAAATGGAAAACCAAAATAAGAAATTATGCACAAAAACGAAAAAAACAAACTACTTTGCCAAAGAAAAGGCTTTGTTTATTTCAGTTTTTTCTAAGTAATATCTGTTTTTTTTTTTTTTAATATTATCAACTGACAAAGACCATTTTGTTAAAACCAAAAAAGAAAAGGACAGAGACCACCATACCACCTTTCCATCTCTTGCGGGGCGCGAAATTTTTTGATTCACCGAATCCTCGACCAGGTAATAGCCACCACCATCATGCCATCTGTTGACCCATCAGGCCGCCACCTGTCTCGTCGTCCCAGCGCAGCAGCCAATGACAATAATAATAATGATAATAATTTCTCGTATGACCGTACTCGATCCATTTTCCGTCAAAACCACAGAAACTCTCCCCAAAAAACTGGGGATGCCAAAAATCAGAGAATCTTCCAATTCCCTTCTTAAATCCTCAATCACCAATTCGTTCATGTCGTCAATCCTCCCTTAAATCCATTATCCAGCATAAAAAGTACCAGCCTTCCACTACTACTACATAAGGAAACAAATAAAATATTAAAACCAACAGCTTCCACCCTAAACCGCCATGCCTTGGTTCAGAAATCTCATCCCCCTCTCCTCCTCTACGACCTTCGGAACACACTCGTCGCTCAAACCCATCACTACTGCTACGTCACTTTCCTATGCTTTCGCCCACCAGTTGCTACAGTTCAGCACCGCCGCCACCGAAGAGAAGGCGGCGGAGGCGGAGGTGAGTGATAAAGGCAGTGGAGCTGGTACTGTTGCCGCGACGTATGCTGGGCTTGCGCCCACAAAGGGGGATGAGAAGGCGAGGGTGGTGGTTTTGGGCTCGGGATGGGCCGGATGCAGACTCATTAAAGATATCGATACCAGCATTTACGACGTCGTTTGCGTCTCCCCCAGGAATCACATGGTCTTCACTCCATTGCTGGCCTCCACGTGCGTCGGCACTCTGGAATTCCGGTCTGTTGCCGAACCCATTGGAAGGATCCAACCTGCCATTTCTCGGGAACCCGGTTCGTACTATTTCCTTGCTAACTCCACCGGCGTTGATTTCCAAAACCATCTGGTATATATTCCCTCATTTTTGGTCTGATGATCATCGCTGATACTTATAAATTTCGTGTTAAGAAAGCAATATTTTTCTTTTTTAGCATAGTTTCCTTAGCTGTTTAGCGGTCATTACTCCTTTTTTTTTTTTTTTTTCTTTTTCTCTTTCTTTTTCTGGGGTAGGTGAATTGCCAAACAGTAACTGATGGGGCTGGTACTTTGGAGCCATGGAACTTCACCATTGCATATGACAAGCTGGTGATTGCAGCTGGAGCAGAAGCGTCAACTTTCGGCATCAGGGGTGTTAAAGAACATGCCATTTTTCTACGCGAGGTTCATCATGCTCAGGAAATCCGGAGGAAATTGCTTCTTAATCTCATGCTCTCTGATGTGCCAGGTATCCGTTATGCTGCCTTATATCCCAAATTCTGCTCACATTTGAATGAACTAGCATTATTCTGGACTCTTTTTGCTGATACGGTACCGGTGAGGCAGGAGTTAGTGATGAAGAGAAACGTAGGCTCCTACATTGTGTAGTTGTTGGTGGTGGTCCAACAGGCGTTGAGTTCAGCGGTGAACTTAGTGATTTTATCACGAGGGATGTCCGCCAGAGATACGCTCATGTCAAGGATTATATACGCGTTACTTTGATTGAGGTAAAGCTAATAAAAAAAATACTGTATCGCGCCTTCACTTTTCTTTTTTTTCTTCTTCTTCTTGTTTTTTGTTGTGCGTTGACATTTTCCTATTGCAATTATTACTTATTTGTATAATACTCGTTTTGCACAAAGTGTTAATTGATCATAACAAGTTACCGCTTCTTCATTTCCAGGCAAATGAGATTTTGTCTTCCTTTGATGATCGCCTGCGGATATACGCAACCAAGCAGTTGATTAAGGTGAGACCCTGGTAAGAGTTTGTATGTCCATTTGCACATATATATGTGCAGAGATGTTAATTTAACGATTGTTATTTCTATGTTTTTCAATCATATGAAAGTATGGCCCTAGATGTTGTGACTAGGGATTAAGGTAGTTTATTTTGTTTACCTTGGCTACCAATTGGTATTTTTAATTTACTTCTATTAAGCATGTCAGACCTCATAGTGTTGTTTGTGATTTTTGTTATTAATTTAGTAGCTTCTCAGTCAGGAGTTCGTCTAGTTCGTGGAATTGTGAAGGATGTTCAACCTGAGAAGATAGTTCTTAGTGATGGGACTGATGTACCTTATGGTCTGCTGGTGTGGTCTACTGGCGTTGGCCCTTCACCTTTTGTCAAATCCGTGGATGTTCCCAAATCACCTGGGGGAAGGTCAGCATGGATTCGATACCTTCTGCTTTTATACATGCAGATTCTTGAAAGCTTAAGCTTCTGATAAGGTTATTGGCCTCCAAATGGATAAAAATTTATTCCTTCTCCTAGATACTTATATTAGCTCCCCGCCCTCCACCCCCAAAAAAAAAAAGAGAAAGAAAAAGATTTGGATTCTTCCATATGATAGAATTACAAGTTTATCCATCCAGGTTTCTATCAACTTGAATTGACTAAGGTTTGATTTTGGAACATCACATGGTAATTTTGCACTGCCTCCAAGAGTTTTACATGATTGTTATGTAGTCAAATTGTTGATCACTAGATGTTACAACAGGGCTGTGTTTCTTTTCCATTTCCAATTTCTCTTTATTTTCTGCGCTTGAAAGACTTATTACAACAGTTCGTGCATCTTCAGGATAGGGGTAGACGAGTGGCTTCGTGTCCCTGCTGTGCAGGATGTTTTTTGCTATTGGTGACTGCTGTGGGTTTCTTGAATCAACAGGCAAGCCTGTGCTTCCAGCTCTGGCTCAGGTAAGTTAAGGAAAATACTTAATGCAGATAATTTTGTGTGAAAAGTGTTATAATTGTTACATAGTTGGAGAACGTTTGTGGTAACTCTTTCTTTTCTATCCAGTAAATTGATAAGTTATATATGGTTAAGTGGGTATAGGTTTGAAATTTCATTTTGTATTTCATTTCTTCCCTTTCATTTTGAAAAGTTATTATGGAACTCCTAAGCTAGACTTTGTCATGCTTGGGATATGATCTGTTCTGGTTTTGCATTTCCCCATAGAAAGGTGTACTGGATCTGTCAACTTTTCCAAACCCAAGATCCGTATCCCAGACTACCTTCCTCGTGCTTCAATAATTCCAATATTCTGTTTTTCAAGCTTAGTTTCTGCTCTTTTCTCGACAGATTGTTGAATGAAAAACAAAAGGCTAACAGAATGTGAGTAAAGAATTATGAAAGAGAACTTGCGAATTAGCAAAGGTTTGGTTCAATGAGGACATTGTTTTTTGTTGTTATTGATATATATATATGTGTGTGTGTGTGTGTGTGTGTGTGTGTGTCTATATATATATACATCCAGGTTACATCTTTTTCCAGTTGTTCAGTTTTTGGACAATGTAACAAATCCTTAACTGTTGATTGCATAATGTTTGTTCCAACAATGGTAATAAGTTTTATGAGGTAGGGTGCCCTCTTGCTAAGGTTGATCAATACTGCCAATTCTTGACTATCATGACATGAATTTTTAGCAAGTACAACAGATTTGCATGTAGCAAATCTCCAGTTCTTGTGTTGCACTGTGTGGTTGAAGATTTGTGGCTGCATATTGGTGGACCGGCTGGCACTACATCAATTTGACGTACTTTTACTATCTCAAGTAATTTGTTTCTGCAATGTATACATTGGCCAGGTTGCTGAGCGGCAGGGAAAATATCTAGCACAAGAACTGAACAGGATTGGTAAAGCTGGTGGTGGACGTGCCAATGCTGCAATGGATATCGATCTTGGGTCTCCATTTGTCTATAGGCATTTGGGGAGCATGGCGACCATTGGTAGATACAAGGCCTTGTGGACCTCAGGCAGAGCAAGGTTAGTTAATGACCCAATGTATCTGTACGTGTATTTCTTTGTTGTGGCAGTTAAACTGCTTCTGGTGGGTGGCTCAGTTTCTTGAGGCCTTGTACAGGAGGCAAGAGGATTATCTGTGGCTGGATTTGGAAGCTGGTTTGTCTGGCGGTCTGCTTATCTTACCCGTGTCATAAGCTGGAGGAACAGATTCTACGTAGCAATCAACTGGTTAACGACCCTTGTATTTGGCCGTGATATAAGTCGGATATGAAGGTAACCAGAAGATTGTGCTCTCTCGCATTAGAGACATCCTCGTGTACGTAGCAGCGAAATATATCATGGAATTGATACTCCTGAATTGACTGCTAACTAGTAATGTGTGATTTTGCAAGTATTTAAGAATACAAAATTCAAGGCAAAAATCGGAACAAAAATACTACGACACTGAATCAGAAAATGAGACGTCGAGGAGCACTTTTAGATATTGTCAAGCTTTAGGTTTGTATACAATAATAAATATTTCATTCAGCTATAGCAGAATCAAGCTATGCACTTGAAAGGAGACCATGTTTTTGGTTGCAGGAACAGGTATTCGCTGGACAAATAAAAGGTTTTGCAGAAATGATTCCGCAACAGCAGAAGGAATAAAGCCCTTTGTATTTTGCCAAAGAAGGAAAAAAAACAAACAAATTTACTCGTAATTGGTTGCTTGATTAAGCAAGCGACCTTCTGTGATTGGTATGGTTGCTTCCCTTGTTGTTTGTTCAATTGGATTTGAGTAAATTCAAAAGCACCTTGTGCTCACACAGCTGCTGGACTAAACGATTCTTAACCCATTGTTCCCAAAAAAAGACGATTATTCTATAAAAGATTGAATTACGCTGTAAAACAGAACTGCATTTATTCCGAGGAAACGTTTGCACGTTGCCTGCCATCTTTTAAAAATTTTCCATGGCAGCAATCGTTTTTGTTTTAGGAACTACACTGTAAAGAAACCGCCATATATCCTTTCCCAAAAGATGGTGCCAGACCGATGAGGCTATTGGTCTAAAAATATGTTGCAAGTTTTAAATAAATATAAGAGAAGGAGGAGTGTGATAAGAGTACTTTACAAAAGGTTTTAGGAGTGGGGCAGGGAACCGTCAGCCAATGAAAGGCTGTGTTGGAGTCAGTGCAAAGACGCGGAAGGGATGTGCTCATTCACCCGAGAAATAAAAAATTGACGGTGTCAAAACAGAAAACCATCCCAATTGAAGGGAAGGTGTCAAAACACACGGTGGTACTAATTGTAAGCAGCAGAGATTGTAACGTAACCAGTGGGGAGCTGCACGGTCAACTCTCTCTTGGAACGTGAGAAGAGAGGGGTTATGAAATGAAATACCACTCCTATTCGCCATGTTGGATCAATTGGGTAGTAAACCTGATTATGGAATTTCTAATCCATATTCCAATATGGAATTACTTTGTACAAGAAATTATTTTCTTTTCTTAGGGTGCCGGGTTCCTTGAATTTTTATTTTATTTTTTTTGAAGGAAAGGGTTCCTTGAATTTCATATCAAGTTATTAATACCCTCTATTAATTAATTGATATAATTCAATTGGGGGGGGGGGGGCCAGGGGCAGTAAGCAAAGTAGCACTGCTTAATATTTATACGCGTGTCAAAGTAGTTCCACTAGTCAAACCTTTGACTCTTTCTCTCTTCCCATCCCACCCAGCATTGCAATTGAACTGAGGAAAATCTTTACAATCACCGCTGCCGCTCACCCTCACTCAAAGCCAACAATTTTTACTACTAGTACTGCTCCAAAACACACGTAGTCAGTCATGCCTGACTTCCTACTTTGACCCTCTTCGTCTGACGCACCCCCAAAATGGAAATGGCCTCATCGTCCTCCTCACACGCCGCCGTGGAGGCAATCCACCGAGCATTGTCCGATGTCTCCGTTTCCGACGACCGCCAGTACGCTTGGGAAAACGCTAGACGCTTCTCCGGGTACGTCAAGAGGATGCACTTCCTAGTCAACCAGCTTCTCCGGTCAACGGTGCCAGAGAATCTCCCGCCTTCCGTTCTGACTGCTCTCAAAGGTATCACCGTTGATTTGACTCAAGTCGCTGAGACTTTAGCTGTGTACAAACACAAGAGCAAGATCTTTGTGCTCATTAACTGTCTGGAGCTCTGCGCCTCTCTCCAGGAGCGCACGTTAGCCATTGCCGCGTGGTTAGCGCTCCTCGGCTCCGCCGTGCAAGACGACGGCATTCCCGATCTTCAAAACAAAATCGCTGATCTTTCTAGAGATATGAAACAAGCCCACTTCAGAGTAAATTTTCTTTTTAATCTCCACCTTATTATTGTATATATTATGACATCACATAGTCCAGCTCTCTCTCTCTCTCTTTTTTGCCTGCCCGTGTTTTTATAGTATGTGCTTTTGGCCACTTTCCTGTTCACTCTTCTTAAGTTTCTGAAGAAAAAAAGTCGGTTTAAGTTTCCTTTGTGCATGTGTGTGTTTTACGTGCGCTCTGGACCGGTCTTTTCCATTTTTCTGTCAATTGTTCTAAGTCGTCGTTAGTATTATTGCTATCGTTTCAGTTATTATAATGTTGTTTGGGTGTTAATCCATGTTTTTTATTGGGGTGTGCGTCTGCGTGTCTGTTCGCATATGTGTTTTCCCATTTTTCGTTTTGTTATAGTAGTATGCGCGCTTTTTTATCTGTGCTTATGGCCTCTCTCTTTCCGCTCTTGCAGTAGCATTTTAGAGTTTTGTTATTATGTGCGTCCATCTCTGTGTCAATGAGGGGTGTTTTAATGTGCGCTAGCTGTTGGCCTGTGATATGTAGGTGACAGAGAATGAAGAAAGAGTTTATTGCACTTTGAAAAAGGAAGGGCAAGGAAGGCAATGCAGCAAAGCAGTGCAGGGTGCAATGGTAATGGATTTAGCTAGAGCTTTGGGGATAGACTCTAATAACCACTTGGCATTAGCTGATCAGGTTAAGCTTCTTAGGAATGATATAGGCAACTCATCTTCTATATCAGATAGGCGTATCTTGACATCATTAGCGAAGATTGTCGAAAATTGGGCAATTCAGCCGGATATTCTAACCCAGAAGTTCGATTTCAATTCTGAAGAGGAAGGAGCTCAATTATTGCCTTTTAAGAACTTTCTTTGTCCCTTAACCAAGGAGATAATGAAGAGTCCTGTTGTGTTGGAATCGGCTCAGACATATGAGAAAACTGCTATTAATTATTGGTTTGAGAGATGTTTAGAAGATGGTCGTGAGCCGACTTGTCCTGTTACTGGGGTGGTGCTAAAGTCATTGGAGCTCAAGCCTAACATTGGATTAGCTGGTGCTATTGATGAGTGGGTCACCCGGAATATTGAGGTTCAGATTAAGAGAGCTGTTGAGTATCTCAGTGAGGATTCTTCATCGATGGACTCAATTGACAGGTCACTGGATAGCATATATAAGATTTCTGAAGAGCATCCTATGAGCAGATACAGGGTCAGAAATGAAGGCATTGTTGTTCTTATTCTCAAGCTGCTTAGGAATTCTTCGAAGGTTATTGGATCACTTTTAAAAAGTAAAGCTCTTATGGTATTGTTTAGCATGGCCAAGGATGAAGAAAGCAGGGTGAGTGTGTTCAACCTCCTATAACAACTAAAAAGTTAACATGGCAACCTTCACTTTTCTTGTGCTGTGAATATAAAACGTCCTGATAACTGCTGGCATTGGTGATGTAGTCTAATCTCTTTGGTGCTTTTTGCTCTTGTTTTTATAGATGTAGCCCAACTGAACACGCTGTCTTTAGGCTTCCTGAGAAACTAAAGTTACGTTTCTCTGGCAGCATTCAGCAGTAGTTTTAAGTTCTAAGTGTCTGAATTCATGATCTATCAGAAGGAAGTATAAGGCTGTCTGGGTAGTTGCTAGCCTATGAACTGCTGGATTCAATCTTTGTCACAACTAAAAAGTTATGGCCCTGTCAATATAATGGTAAGAAAAAGGTAGATTCCCAGCTATTGTGCACTTGATGTGAGCACTAGGTAGATTCCCAGCTATTGTACACTTGATGTGAGCACTCATTTTGTGAAGTAGTCTTCTTTGTCAACCTTTGGCAAGTCAGCTTGATCATATGAAGGAAGAAAGTGTGAGGGAGAGGCTTTCGTCTCCTTAATGAAGAGAACAGGTTCACATTGATCTTGCCATTTTTTTTTTATCTTGTCAATTTATTCCTTTTTACTCTAAGGATTGGGTATTAGGGTGTCAAAGAATATGTTGCAAAGTCTCTCAATTGGTCTTTAATAGTCGTTTAGCTGACCAATGTTCAATGAAGTTCATTGATGCATGTTATGGAACCATGTGAAAATTCTTTATTCCTTTTGTTTAGCTGTGAAAGTATAGTAAAATATAGCTTCTAAAATTAGTAATATATGAAATCTTGTGCACTATCTTGACATTACGACCCTTTGTGTTCTTCCTCTTCACACCATTTTCCAGGTGATAATGCTTGCAGAGGGGATTACTAGGTCGGCTATACATGGTCTGATTGGGAGCTCAGAGAAAGAGAGAGAATTTGCAGTGAGGCTATTACTTGACTTCTCAAGTGATGAAGATTTCTGCATCAAAATTGCTTCAGAAAAGGGGGCGTTAGTTCTTCTTTCATGTATGGCAGATAATCTGGAAAATCGTTCTTTATCTCATTTAGCTGAGGAGGTCCTGAAGCGCATAGAGAAGGTGGAGCAGAATGTTGAGCATTTAGCAGTGGCTGGAAGATTTGAACCTTTAATGAAACGGTTATGCGAAGGTACGTATTCTATTGTAGTGCTGAAACATTAGGGATAAATTGACAAGGATACTCGGTTAAGAACTATGGCTGCTTGATTATATAATTCACATGTTTGCAGATAAGAGAAGTTTCATCTTCAAAGCTTAGTTCTCAGGCTTTTATAGTTACTAAAATTTCTTTGGGGCGTCCAGATTCCCAGAAACTCGGACATTGAAAAATTGTTTATTGTAGATGTTTCAGCACATCCAACATTACAAGCAGTCCTGCCCCTGAAACTCTTTCATTTTCCCTTCTGGTGATCTAGCACAAATAATTTAAATATAATCAAGGATCCAAAGTATATTGTCAGTGTGAATGCTTACTAGTTATATTCTCACCATTTATTACTGTTTTGCGACATGCATTATACTTTTTTCTGTAACTGTATTCTTGTAAATTTGAGAAAATGGGGAAAAAAAATGCATCAGAGGTCTGATGATTCATTGGCATGTACACCCGGAGGTCAGAAGATTTATTCACATAATTACCTGTTTACTTAATAAAACAGAATTTGCTTTGAAATCATACAAATAAAACTAAGAACAGGGCTCCAACAAAATAATTGAATAGATGAAGGGCATGATTAGAGGTTTCTTTCTAATATTTCTGTTTAAGTTTCTTATGCTTTAATGTTTATGTTCAACTACTTGACACCAATGATCATATCCGAAACGTATACTCTATATTCCTATGAACACTTCCATACGAAAGGAAGGAAAACTTTTTTTCATTGACTCTCAATGTTCCATTGAACAGGTCCTGATGATGTCAAAATAGAGATGGCATCTGTAGTGGGGAGAATGACCTTGACAAATAGCAGTAAGGAACAAATTGCTTGTCAGGGTGCTAGAAGTTTAGTTGAACTGCTATCAAACCTGGATGGAAGAGCAGCAAGTCTGCAAGCTTTGTATAACATTTCATGCTTTGCTGAAAATGCTACAATCCTTACTGATTCTGCGGTGCTTCCAGCTCTAACAGAAATTCTTTTTGAGAATCAAGTTGTATCCTTAGCATTGAAGGCATTAGCTGCATCGATTATTGCAAATATTGTGATGAGCCCTGGAC